GTTGACTCAACTTTCCATTCTTCCAAGAATGGAAGAATTGATCAAGATCATTGGGGCAATATGCAAATAATGCTTACATTGTAAATTGCCGAGAGTGCTGCAAAGTGCTATGCAGTTGTATGCAGTTTAAATTCTTTTGCAATTAACAAGTTGAAAAAGACAATTATTTCTCAATAAAATTCAGAATTCAGAAAATTTTCTTCCAAATCATAGGAATTCATGTATCACTCATGCTGCCCTAGAAATCACACTAGTCTTTTTCCGAACAAGCTGCTCTCTCGTATTCAGCTCTGGCGTCAGCATGATGATGTAGCACTTGGGCAGGAAAATGGAACCTAATAAACCACCACTTGAGGCCAAGATAGAGAAGACTTCCACAGCCACCATGGATTTCCCCTTAGTGCTCAAGTAGGTGGGCACAAAGGACACCCAAACACTGCAGAAGACCAGCATGCTGAAGGTGATGAGCTTGGCTTCATTGAAAGTGTCGGGCAACTTCCGGGCAAAGAAGGCCACCGTAAAGCTGATAAGGGCAAGAAGCCACATGTAGCCCAGCACAACATAAAACATGATCTCGGAGCCTTCGTTGCATTGCACAAAGATCTCATCCATCTGGGAATGCATGTCCAACTCTGGGAAAGGGGGAGAAATGGCCAACCACACAGCACAGATGCTTGTTTGAATAAGGGAGCACAAAACAATGACTGAGACGGACAGCCTTTTCCCCACCCACCCACTCATGCGGTTCCCTGGCTTTGTGGCCATGAAGGCCAGAACCACAGTGAGGGTCTTAGCTAACACACAAGCCACCGCAATGGAGAAGACAACTCCAAAAACTGCTTGCCGGAGCACACACGTGACTGTCCCTGGACATCCGAGGAAGAGGAAGGAGCAAAGAAAACACAGCAGGAGTGAGAAAAGCAGGGTGCAGGTGATATCCCAATTGTTGGCTTTGACGATGGGAGTGTTCTGGTGGAAGATGAATGTCCCCATCACCACAATTGTGATTACAGCAAAAGAAACAGCAAAGC